CCCCCAAAACCCCAAAACCCCAAAACCCCTGAGTGGTGAAAGATCGTTGAAGATTCCAGTTTCTCCCTAATGGAGTCAATGAAATAAGTCGCAAGAAAACATATGCCATGGCATATCTCAGGGGGAGACAAGACTACCTGGGCATTTCTTATCAGTATAGCTGCAAAGGAGGGAATCTTTCTGGTAGAATATTTGCTCCTAATCTTAGTTAAAGCTGACTCTTTAAATCTGAATATTGCAGCTGCCGGAGCAGTCAACTTCTGGAGGTTTATGTGCAGATAATAGTTGAATTTTACTCCTGCCTCTGACCTAATTTTTGGGAAATAGAAACAGCAATTATGGTTATTCACCAAAACGATATTTTTATTAATTTTGCTTAGTGTATATGTTAATCCCAATTCTAAAAGATATACAAGTGGTATCTTCCTCCCTAGTGTAAGGACAGAGTCCTACCATTATTTTGTATAAGTGAGCATATTTGGCTTTAATAACAACAAATTGCAACTTAATTTGAAATTTCTGAAATATTCATATTGTTTCTCTTAACATGTTTGAAATCTTAAGAAAAATCAATTTCAAAGCACTTAGAGTTGCCATTAACAAGATTTATCTCAAATTGAGCCTGGAGCACCTCCAAGTCACTAAGATTAGTTGGCTGCCTTATAAAAGAGTTTGGAGTTCATGTAGTACTCCCATCTTTACGAATTTATCAGTGAAACCGAAGATGGCAAAGTTGCTAAAGTTATAACCCTAGATTACTGCTAAACCCTTGTGGGCTCAGACCACTTAGAAGATGATTATACTGAGTTTTGGATACATTATCATAAGGTTTGCATAGAGCTATTAAATCTTGAGATCATGGGTGACAATAGATGCCTTATATTTGAATGAACTCTCTTATACATTCAGAGGAGTAATAGATATCTTCTGGTGTCTGTATAGTATTAGAAGCTAAGTAAATGTATAAGGTTAAAGCAAGAAGTAATTTTAACACCAGATGCCAACTAATAAGAGTTAATCTTTTCTCCATTTATTTATGGTGAAGTGCAACTTTTAATAAATTGCTAGTCTTTATCCTACCAATTTATACCATTATGGAGAAATTGATATGACTCTTACTGAAGGTAGCAGAAGCATTGGCATAATTATTGAGTTTTAAACACTTCTACAACAGTTTAACTCTTGAGTTAAAGGAAATGAGGCATGGACACCATCAGTGGAGATGCTTAACATACCTCCCAATAACGGTAAACTCCTTTTCTAATCAACCACGAAGTCTCATGACTCTTAACCTGGTGAGCAGACAAAGTCATGGTAGAGATGTGACAGGCTTGAGAGGCTAATTGATAAGCCAGTTCCACTTCAAAAGTAAATCAATAATTTAATTTAAGATAGTACAGCCAGCAACTTACAATGGCTTTAAATAACAAGGTTTCCCAAATGTTTCTGGTGTATCATCTTTCAGAGAAGACTGATTGGAACAGATAGACAGACCAACATTGTACAAGAAGTCTTTATTTATTCCCATAAACTTAATGAGTCCAAAGCTTCTTGAACTCTGTTTAATAAAACCACTGTCTCAATTCTCCATTTTTAATTTGAAGATTTAAATCAAAGTCACCAATTTGTAATGCATTCATGACTTTATTCTTTGCTCAGCTAATAAAAAGGAGTTCAAATAGAGTAAGAGACTTGTCTCAAAGAAGAAATGCCTATGATAAGCTCCCCCATTTCATTATCTATTGTGCTGATCACTGGAAGACATCTATGAAGAAGTCTGGCCTCATGCAAGGATCTATTCTAACCCAGAAATTAACTAAGTCATAACAATTTTTTAGTAAAATTATATTATGGACAGGGAAAAGTAAGCATCTGAAAAGCCCTCTCTTTGAGTTGGAGAAGGTGAGTCTGCACTTTCCTATGAAAGGACACTCTCTGGTCCGAGTAGATAAGACTACTCACTCCTTCGATGCTCAGAAAATGCAGCAGGATTTCCAGGAATCCTGGTTGAGAGCTGATAATTTTGAACAGTTTTTCACTGTAAAAACACATAAGCTTCTCAATGAGGCTCTTGAGCTCAGAGTCTTGGTGTGAAATGGATCCGAATCTTCCTCTGGAGTTGATCACACAGTCGAAGGCTGTCAAGACTCTGTCAATGTTGCTTGCTGGGAACTTTGCAGCACAGTACTCTCTGAGTTTTGATGGGTAATTAGTCTCTGAAAGAGAATGCTTGGTGGCCTCTCTGAAGTCTTTGATGAAATGCTTTCTCATCCTTCTGAATGTAGCCTTGTAGACAAGGTCTTTCCTGGTTTTGTAGCTCTCAACCACTCTTCCAAGAGTGAACTCTTCGGTAGCCTCTGGCTCATTATTAGCTGGTAGATGTCTTGGTGAAGCCTCCATTCGAGAGGAATGACCATGCTCAGAACTGGGTTCTGCCTTTGATTCTTCGTGTCTTTTAGGCATTTGATCAACCAATTGCTGAGGATCTTTACTTATAGAGTCTGAAGCTTGCTCATGCATACTTGAGTTCTCATAGTCTCTAACTCAGGCACAATAATTTCTGAGCAAGTATTGAACAAATGAGTTGATCTCTGAAAGATTTGGAACTCCATAAATCCATTGTTGAGTTCTCCAACAATCTACATCTAAATAAATGGTTCATAAAACAACATGGTTAATAACTTAGAGTGTTAGACAATAAACAACAACAAGCCAGATTCCAAAACAAATCTGAAACTGTACTTTTGTAAATAAAGACTATGCAGATCTTAATATCTGCATCTATTTATTTATAGAACGGATGCTCATATATCCACTCCATTTTCACCTAAATCTTTAATCTGCATTTATTATTTATCAATCGCCAAAACTCTTTTTAGCTTGAAGTGAAAGACTCTCAGATTTATTTTAACAAGTATTTATCAGTACCTGACTAAAACTGAATGGCAGAAGGCTTCTCTCCAAAAGATATAATAATCGCATATTTCAGGATTTACAATCTGGAGAGCAGCTTCATCATGTTCAATGAATCAAACAATGAATGCTTAAGAGCAATTATGATCTTAACTTACCTTGACCAGCCAGATGGTTTGACTTCCCATTCAGACAGCATCAAAAGCTAGGGAGGGAGTCATCACTTCAAGAGGTTAGCCTAAGGCTTCTCTGGTTGATTGCAAATATATTGTTCATGATCTCTTAATTATTTATTGAATTTCATCTGTTATATGCCCTCACGGGGTTTTGGGGTTTTGGGGTTTTGGGGTTTTGGGG